ATGCTTGATGGCCTGTAATTTTGTAAGATACCAATGATCGTTCAAATTTGGGACTCGAAAGTGAGCTCCGTGCTGCCGCTTGAGATGAGGCAATTTCTGTTGCTGATCCTCTCGCTCTTGAAACAGTAACGATACAAGTAAGAAGGGTTTGGCAAAGATAACATAAATGTGAGGCTGCCAATCATTCCAAAGGCAAACATTAAATACCTACTGCCGTGTTATATAAACTGGGGCTGTGAAAACTGGCTGTTAATTACATTTGAAAGCCCACATCAATAAAAAGCACTTTCTTGTTGTGTACCAGGTGACACTTGAAAAAGCCAAAAGATGAAAGAAAATTTCATCCCAGGGCTCTGCTGAACATGAGCATCAGCTCTCGCCAATATTTCTTCTGCATCTTGAGCCTGCTCACCATGGCAACCTTTGTTTGCCTGCAGTAAAAGGGAAGGTATCATCACTGTTCACTTAGCATAGAGCACAGCTTTAAAGAAAAGAAAGTACTTTAAACAAGAGCAAGAATAGAAAGCAACCTTTTCACCAGAGCGTGTGTGAATGTGCAACATATGCAACTCAGTTTTGACTTCTGTATAAACAGATGGAAACTTCATTTCCTTTGTGTTCTACAAGAGGTTTCTTCTACAAGGAGAAGAATTTTAATTCTGAAAATAAACAGAGCCCCCAAATAAAAAAAACCTCAATCCACAGTCCTTGGCCAGGCAAAGCAAACCCATAGTTCATGAGTTTACTAGCAACAACCCAAGGAACTTGAGAACAAAGGGAATATTTTTCACAATTGTTGGTAAAAGATTTACGAGCAAAGTGAATGTTAGTTACGCAACCCAGGTTTTGCCAAGCATGAATTTAATTATGAAAAGTGACTATTAGCTCGTTATAAATAGGCTTGGCAAATTTCAATTGTTGGTCTTTTTGTAATTTCAGTGGACAATATTGTTTATTTGTAATAATTTTTTTAATTTAAACTATTTCATTTTTCAGAGTTTATGGAGATTTATGGGGGACGTTAAACCACAGAGGAGTTTAGCAATTATTTCATGACAGTAGTTTGTGATTCAAAAAGTTAATGCTTTCTAATGGTTAAAACACAAATTATCAACATATTATGTGAAAATATACATCATATGTGAAAATATACAAAGTACATATCCTTAAATCATACTTTAAGATCATATGTGAAAATATACAAAGTACATAATCTTAAATCAACCTTTAAATTCTCACACAGCCTCTATCTAGTTGTAAATTTCTGTTCTTGATAGAAATATTTGGGTATGTATGTGTGTGCATATGCATACACAAGTGGTGAAATTAATGTTTACCAACACTTACTGATAAACATAAAATCCTTCTGTGCCCAGTAATAAAATGTATGTAGCGAAACCAGAGTATATTTTAGGATCTCTCTGTTTTAGATATTTATATGACCACTAGCATATTATTGTAGTTCCTTGCAGCCTTTATTATAGTTAACCTCTCAGCACCCCCATTTTACATATGAGAACTGAGGCAAAGGGAAACTAAGTGACTTGCTCAAGTTCACACAGTCATTCTCAGGTTAGATCAGGACTTGTACCTAGGTTGCCAAATCTCCAGCGACTGCTTTAATCATTGGAGCAAGTTCTTATCCATTTTATTGAAGGGGGAAATTGAGGCATAGAGAGGCAAAGGCCAACCCTGCTGTGCTGCACCCACGTTTCAAAATATCCATCTAAGTGACCAAAGATAATGCAAGTGTGGAGTTGAGCCAGGGCTTGAAGCCAGGTTTTTTATGCCTGATTCTGTACTGTTGTTACCACATTGTGCAAAAAACATTGTAATGCACTATGGTAAGGTTGTGGGTTTGGAAAATAACGTAAAAACAGGGTAATAGAAAACTGCACATATATTGGGCAACATTGCCTTCTAAAAGCATGTGCCCATTAAACAGGTCAGCCAGTCACATTCTTTGCAAAGGTTTTATATTGATTTTTTAAATTATTTTCTTTTCATAAGGTAGGTATTGTTGATGTTATATGACATTAGGCAAGTCTGCTTGACCTCTTGTCATTGACTAGCTAAAGGTCTGAATTGTCAAACTCTTGCTGACCAGAGCACATTTTACACTCATAAGGAAGTCCCACGGGGGATTAAATATCCTTGCGATAAGCACATTAGAGGTACCTTTCTTAAGAAAAGGCATGATAAAAGATAAGGAAAAAAGTTTTCTGAAAGAAATTGAAATAATTGCCTGCTATTGTATATATGGCTTGCTCCTAGAATTTGTGTAACAGCCACCGGGTGGATTAGAACCTGGGGCCTCTGGTGCTTAGTATAGGAGCATCTACCCTTTGAGCTAAAAGCCAGCTGACCTTTAGCCCCCTCTGTAGAGGGCTCTTGTTCTTATCTGTTGCTGTGGTTTAGGTGCCACTGCATGGGACAGTGAACCACACTAGATGTGTGGGTTACAATTGCTTTACCTTCAGCTGCAGGGGAACCAGGTCATAATAGTGTTTGTTATTTTCTTTTTGAGCCCTGCTATCTTCCTCCTCCTCTTTTTGGAAACACTGTGAATATGGTGGAACAAAATACAGGACTATGTAGCACTTTAAAGACTAACAAGACGGTTTATTAGATGATGAGCTTTTGTGGGCCAGACCCACTTCCTTCTGGCCCACGAAAGCTCATCATCTAATAAACCATCTTGTTAGTCTTTAAAGTGCTATATAGTCCTGTATTTTGTTTCAGCTACACCAGACTAACACTGCTACATTTCTATCACTATTGTGAATATGGTGGGACTTCTCCATCAGTGACTCTGCTCCACAGAGAGGAACGAGTTAATGCATTTCATTGGCATGGCAGCGACCATCACCTTTGCTTTGACAAACATATGCCTTTTGGGAGACTGGTAAGAGAACCAGGCATAAACAGAGAAGGAAGCATGGTTCAACAATTAGGGCAGGTGGGGCTGGTGGAGGGGAACCATACTTTAGAATGAAGAGCAAAGGTCTATTCTGGTATATCTGAGGGTGCAGAAAGATGCCTTAGAATCCTTCATTGGGGAGGCAAGCTACCAGTGGGATTGGGCTCATGAAAGGAGGGTCCTCTATTAGACTAATTAGTTGAGTTTAGCCTCAAAATGGCTGTTATGACTGTACTTTTAATGTAACCCTTTGTTTCCAATATTTCTGATGACTGTCATGTGAATTTCTATTATTTGCTAAATATACTTGTGCTTGCCTTCTCTATAAACAAATCTCCATGCTGTGAGTTGGGTGGAGTTGTGTTCAAAGGTGAAAGTAGCAAGCTGTGGAGTACTACTCATTTGGGGGCAGCAGGTCTGGTAATTATGTGGAGTGGCCAGTGGATAAGGGGCTGGACACTGCAGGCAGTAGCTTAGAGGACTCACTGTCTGGAATGCGCCAATTGCTAGGTTGGAACAGTAGAGCCCACCTGGACTGAATGCATGTGTTGCCAGTGCCCGAGAGAGCCAGAGAGCTGACTCCTGGGAGGTACAGACAAGGCATCTCACACTAAAAGCAGCTGGAGCAAGGCATCTCACGGCCCTCAGTGTCTAGGAAGCAACACAGGCAAACTTTGCTCAGATGAATAGTCTGATTGACTGTTCATTTTTGGGAAAGCTGAAATAAGAGCAAGCACTAGGCATAAGCAGACTAAGCAATTGGTTAAGGCCCCCAGCAGCTCAAGCCCCTCCCCCTTTCACTTTTTATTATGAGTTGGGGGGGCGGGATGAGGGCAGAAATAATCTTGCGTAGGGCCCCCAACGGGCTAGCACTGCCTCTGTCTGGAATTGCTTTCATGAATAAGGATTTACTGATGTGTAAGAGTCACAGGCTCAAGTCTATATTCAAGAAAGAAAATAGCTTCACAAATGTGTAAATATATGATGTGTTAATTAGCACACTATTTAAGTTTATTTAGCTATTTCTTGAAGCAACTGTACTCGCTGAGAGGATATCTGTGGACAGAACATTCCCAAGGCAACCACTCTGGTTACAATTGACCTTAAAACTATTCCTTGAGCACAAACTTTACAGAACTTCTAAACTTGAGAAAATGTGTTTACAAATTGATGGTCACCAAGAGAAAAAAATGTCAGCATGTTTCTAGTTGCTGTGGGAGGGAAATAATCACACAGCAACCAGTTTCTTCTCCTATGTTTTCTAACTAATAAATTTTTGGCTCCCCCAAACATCTCTCAATAGTCATAAAACATCTAAGGAAAGAACAAAAGCTGCATTACTTATTGTGAATCTAGTTTTTAAGTATCTATTGATGATTCTGTGTTTCATGTGTGCACTTTAGTTAAAGGATGATTATCAAATCATTAGTGAACATTGAATCAGAGTTTTATGCTTACTAGGTTCTCTTCTGGTCAATCTATGGCTTATAACAATAAATTTCTTGTCCCAAGAAATTATAATAATTAATAACAGATGATGCCACAGTTTTCATAGTGTTCCACAGAAGTAAGAGATGTGCCCCAGTTTCTGATCTCAGTTACACACATGTAAATCCAAAACAACTTAATGGAAATCAAGTTACTTTGCAGTTATGCTGATGTAATGGAGACGATCAATATCTGGTCTCTGTCCTGAACCGGGACACTTTTCCTGCGATCAGATCCTTGTGCCTACATGGTCACTGATGTCATTGGAGATCTACAAAGGTGCAGGGGTTTGCTTGTAAAGAGGTAGTCCCAAAATCGGAGCCTAAATCACCCAGACATAGAAAACAAAGAGACAAGATAAACTAAAATGTGAGGAAAGGAGGGGCAAAGGTTAAAATAAATAGAGATTTATAACGTGGTCACATACCATTTCTTAAGCATAATATACAGTTTTTCTGTCCCTGTCTTAGGTGCACATTTGTGTCCATCCTGTATCAATGCTTCTTACCATGCACATGGAAACAGTCATATAAGAGTTCTCAAATGATTCCATATTTTACTACTTATTGTTGCATAGCTTTCACTTGGGGCAGATTTTTACCATGAAACATTTTGTTTCTGAGTAATTCTCCTTAAAGTAACAGGTAGCATTGGTTACAAGGGGACCTCTCCCTCTTCAAGCTTCCTTCACTATGTCCCATGCAGTCTCTTCTCTGCACCACAGGGTAGTGCCAGCGAGGCTACCTTGGTTTCCCTGCTTGCTGCCAGAACAAAGACAATCAGACGTGTCCGATCAGAAAACCCAGAACTAACAGAGGCAGACATCATGAACAGGCTGATGGCCTACGCATCTGATCAGGTGAGTGCATCTAAAGTGGCATTGGGGACTATGAGAGTTTTCTCTACTTGAAAAATGTAGTCACTCTGCTATACAGATTACTCAGATTGTAAACTGTTTGGAGTAGGGATTGTCTTTTCATCCCAGCTTTGTACAGCACCTTGCACGTTGGTGTCTAGGTTAATAATTTTAGTTCGTACATGTTACCACAATACAAACACTAAATAATAGCAACAGGTTAAAGCGCTGCTACTGATTAACAGCCCAATGTTGCCTCCTGATCTCACACTATTTTATTTTAGTCTGCAAAGAATCCCACTGAAGTGAATGGATATATTGTTTGTGATATAAGGTGTTAATCAACATGAGTAAATGTGGGTCAATAAACTAACTGACTTGAATGTTGACATACAAAAAGATGCACTCCATGAATTATGAACAAACCAGGCTTAGTCCCTGAAAAACTGCAGTGGGTTTAGAAAATAAACCCACTAAAATCTAAGTGTATCAAGCTAAGTTTGCCCAAGATACTCCTATTTTCTTTCTGCAAGCAGTATTAGCACATTTACTTAAACTGAGTTCTCAGCATGGCCAGGATCATGAAAAGCTTCTACCATGCATGAAAGCAAACTTTGTTCTTCCGGTTCAGCCATGCTTGCATTTTAATAACTGCTAATCCTAACAAAGAAGGCCAAACAATGTTACCTCTCCCAATAAATATGACATTTTACTATCTAAATGTCAGTGAGATAGGAGGAATGCTCCCACTACTTGATATTTAATTTGATCTAATCCACTAGTTACACCACATTAAAATGGCCAGACGTCAGGTTTCACTGTATTTTACCTTTACTGTATATTAAGAGATAAACTAATTAAAAAAGGGCACCTGCTTTTGTTGGGAATGGGGAGTATGGTGCAGAGGCCACATGCGAGAACAGTTGGGATATGAGAAGCGGGGAAGGATCGTGACGATTTTTTAAAGCCAAGATACATGTGGTCCTTCTTTTCTTGGGGCTTTAGCGTGTGTGCTGTGCAGATTGCAGACACAGATCCCTAGGTCTCATATACTAATATGCAGAGCCCCACTGTGTGTGTCTTTCTTTTTTTGTTATGAATGGCTGATCTGAAATGGAGACTGACAGTCCTCTGTGCCTGCTGAAGGTCAGGGGATTTTCTGTCTTGCAGAAGGATTCGCCTTAAGACATTGCTGACCTTTCAAAGCAGATCATAGGAGCTACTTCCACGTTAAGAATAAACCTGTGTGACCCATGGCTCAGTAATCCAAAAGGAATGAAAAGCTAAAAAAGACTCCAGGGAGGGGGACAATGCATGTGTAGACAAACACTGTGTAAGATGGGAATGGAGGGGGACAAAGACCATGTCAACTGCAACCCTGTACAAAATTTTTCACATCTTATCAAACCCACTGTTCTCCAAGAAAATTCCATTGCAGAAATAAGACCACTGCAATAAATGGAAATTTGCCATTTACATGATAAATGTAGGATGTGGACCACAGGAAAAATACTGGGAAATGAATATTGTTACAGCAGGATTTGTAACTATAATGGCTATATAGTTGGGGTAAATTAAGACCTGGTGTAAGAGCACAACTCTCAGCAACTGGATAGTTTAGAATGGACAATCTCAATTCCATTACATTGCGGTTCTCATCAAATATTATGTGTGGTTTCTTAGAATTAAAAACAGCTTTCTGTAGATGGTTCATGTTTTAAGACTCACCCATTTAATTGCAGGCCCATTCATCAGTGGAAAGGGCAGGATTAATTGGCGGAGTGAAGATTAAAAATATCCCTTCAGATGATAAATTTGCTGTTTGCGGATCAGCCCTAGAGAAAGTTTTGCAGGAAGACAGAGCTGCTGGCCTTATCCCATTCTTTGTAAGTACTGGCTTTAACAATGCTGTAGGAACATATAGATCTGCATACTAGTTAGAACAGGAGAGATTATTCCATGAATATTCTGCACTTTACGTGAATTTTGCATAAAGTCTCTCTCTTCTTTTTTAATGGGTGCAAGGGACAGGGGAGAAGAAAAGAAACTAAGGCTATTTCTACACTGCACACTTAATTTTGGAATAAGCTGTGCCAGAAGAAATATTCCGAAATAGCTTATTTCGAAATAGTGCGTCTACACAGCAAATGCCCATTGAAATAGCACCGAGCTATTTTGAAATAGAGTGTCCACTCTCATTGGATGCTGAATTGCATTTAAGGCCACCCAGGCATCAGGACAGCAGTTACTTCCTGGATCTGCTGCTGGAGGCTATCTGAGGCTCAAAATTAAGGGATGCCGCTGTACATCCCTGTCTCAGGTTCTTCCCCTTTGCCTACCTCCTCCAGGAACTGCAAAGCCTTTTTCTCTGCCTGATGTGGTTGCCCTTGCAGAAACCTCAGCTCTCTAGCCATGGAGCCAGACCTTTCTTACAGCAGTTAACACCTCAGCTCTCTAGCCATGGAGCCAGACCTTCCTTACAGCAGTTAACAGCTCTTACAGGCTGTGCTGCACCTCCTGCAGCACTTTCAGCGGGTTGCCTTCCAGGCCCTGCAGGAACACAATGCCTCTTACAGGTTGTGCTGCACCTCCTGCAGCACTTTCAGCGGGTGAGCGGCTAGCAGGGCATGTGTGGGAAGGGCTGGAGGCCAATTATTTCAAAAAAAACTCCAGCCGCCTGTCTACACACACATTATTCCAAACTAGCTATTTCAGAAAAGGTGTTATTCTTCATAGAGGGAGGGTTACAGAATCTGGAATAAGGCACTTGTTACTTCAAAATAACGGGCGTGCTGTGCAGATGCTTGCAAAGTTATTTTGAATAATGTCTGTTATTCTGAAATAATGCTGCTGTGTAGACATGCCCTAACTGGATTCCCTGGGCACTATGGAGGGTTAGGAGACATTTCTTTGCCTTGATAGCAACTTGTGTGTATTGTGGATTCCCAAATAGAGACCATGTATTTGAATAAAAGTATAGCAGACAGAGACGATGCATTTAAAGGGGAGGAAAGGGGAATATTATATTAGATGGGTGGATTGATGTGGATGAGTATCTTGATTTCCTCCTGTTCTGAAATATTATGTTATAATCTTTTACACTGAATTTCCAAACTGCAATTGTCACTAATGTGAGTATTTCTTTTTGAGTTTATGGAGTGCATGTAGGTGTATGTAAAAAAAATAAAAATAAAAAAAAAATCAACACCTGAAATGACACAACGTCAAACTTAAATATCAACAAACAGCCAAAACCTTTACACTCAATGCTACTTTAACAAATAAATAAGTTTCATGGTATTTCCTGAATATCAGCAAGGTGAGGCTATTTCATATAAGGGTGGAAGAGACTGTATCACTTTTCAACAAGATGACAAATGAATCTGGAGATATTTAAGAACAGGTTAGATAGACATCTGTCAGGGATGGTGTAGGTGGAGCTTGGTCCTGCCTTGAGGGCAGGGGGCTGGACTCGATGACCTCTCGAGGTCCCTTCCAGTCCTATGATTCTATGATTCTATGAAATGTCAATAATGAGCTGCAAGTCACGTTATTTATTTTAACTTTATTTTCCTTTCCTATGAGAATCCATGTATTATGAAAAGTGTTCGTACTACATATCCTTTCAGATTGTGTACAGTTGTCTTTCTAAAGTGTAGACACTTGGAGTGACTAATGAAAAATACCACCTTCTTATTCATAGAATCTGTTCCTTCCGTGAATTCAGAATATGATGTGGTCACTTAGAACTGCAATAAGTTTTTAGAGCATTTTTTCTTTTGTTGGCCCTGAAGAGTTAATACCATTGAGATCGTAAATTGTAGTTTATTATGTGCATCAACAAAATTGTCTGCTATTTTCCAATAATTTACACCTGTGCAAATCAGCTGAAGACAATGGAGTTGCACCTGTGTATAAGAGAGTGTAAAATGGCCAAGAGAACTTTTATCAGCAGTGATGAGAATGAAGGGGAAAGCCCAACTTGGCTCTCCATGTTGAGTTGACAGTTAGAAAAAGCCTTGTCTTGTCATTTAAAGGAATGTTATATGGAAATTATTGGAAGACTGCAGGTGTACAAGTTCAAAATACCATTTTTTACAGAACTTCTGTTCAGAGGAATCTTATTTGATTCCGAGTACTTTGTACTTTGTCTTCCCTGTTAATTTGAAGAATTTTTTTAAATATGTCATTTAGTTTCTAAATGCCATTATCAAGCGTGATTGAGGAACTTAGGCCTCATTGAAAGTCAGTCTGATGTCGCTTTTGAAAACTGGACTTAAACTTAAATCACTAGACTATGATTTTATGGTGTGTTAAAAGATCATGGCATGACCATGACAGATGTTTCCCAAGTATAGGGAGATGCAGTTTTCCTGCCTTGGAGAAAAGGAATTGAATAATCTTGGAATGATCAAGTGAACTCCACCAATTGCCTTCCAGTAGAAATAAGACTATTTCCCAAAATGAAGGAGGTACTGCTAAAGCTGCTTACATGAGTGTACAAGTGCCACAGAGCCTGCTGCTGAAGAAAAGCATTTGTAATGGAGATCTCTGTTTCCTCTCCTGGGGTAAATACTGTACAGCAAGTCATGTAAGCAGCTTTAACATACAGTGTGAAAGTTTGAGTTAACCATTACGTGAAGCTGTTCTGTTTTTCTTTAACACCATGCCTTAGTGTTTTGTTTCTGCATTTCGTACGCACCGTGCAATTCTGCATCATCCCTCCATGTGCAATCAAAATATTGAGTTGGTTTGTTGCTCAGTCCTCATCTACACAGACACAATGTAACTCTCCTCATAAATATTCACCATCTATTAATTTTGCAGCTGTGGAAAAAGGAAATCAAATAAGCTGTTTACAGATTCAGTGACACTATTACAAAAGGATGCCTTTTGTTTTAACTGTATGTTGTCCCCACTGTTTGCTTTGCTATGCAAAGCAAGCCTTGACAGGAAGCATGGTCTCAGCCTGACCCAGTGACAGCCCTTCCATTTATCTATATATATAAAACATCTCAGCGAGGATTAGATGAGATCTCATTACTCTTATTGCTGGCCTCCTATCTGAAAAGATGTGCTCATTCTCTCTCATATTGAGCATTAGCCCATGTGCCGTGTTGGTGCTCCCTTTTCTGCTCTTCCGGTTCTTTTGTTCTTGAGTAATCTGGGGCTATTTTATCTTTGTCACAGGAACAAAATATACATTTTACTAAGGAACACACCATTTTATTGCTCACCTTTTTTACTGAGCTTTCTCTCAAGAGAGAGATGCCGCATTAGAGCAGAATGCTCAGCAAAAGAATCTGTGACTGAAAAGAGTTTGATACAACATATCCATCCTTCTCTGTCTCTAATGACAAGCAGATAGCACACAGCTGCACCAATTGAGCTGTGCCACCGTAAGAGCGCTCGTATAGTCTCATTATGCTGATGGGAGAGAGCTCTGTCGTTGACATAATAAAACAAGTTCACCACAACATGGTAGTTATGTTGGCACAGAATGTCTCTCGCTGACATAGCACCATGCATGCAAGTGTTTATGCTGGCATAAGTCACTTGAGATGTGTTTTCTTCACACACATCCCAGGAGTGACAAAAATTTTGCTGATATAGTGCCAGTGTAGCCATGGATCTGAGTTGTCTCCAAGTTCATGAAGTCTCTTCAGCAAAAATGATTTAATAGGTACTATGGAAGAGGGAAAAAAGAACAACCTTGTGTTACATGGGCCAGATTCTCCCCTCAAATGTATATGTAAAAATCACAAATAACTCCATTACAATTAATACAAATATGCCAGTGTAAGTGAAGGGGGATTCAGGCTCATGTGTTTTCTAAGCCTGATGAGAAACAGGAGATCTAATAAAAATAACATGGTAGCAATGTTACAGCTTTTTCAAATAAATAAGGTTTGGTTACTAGATCTGTTTATCATAAACACACACACACACACACACACACACACACACACACTTTGAATTTATATCCACCCACTGGTGTTTTTTAACACTACCAATGTATTTATTGGTGCAGTTAGCCCTAACTATAGTAAAAGTTTGGAGCAAGTCTAGCGCTCTAGTTTTTATGTGTCTTTTCCATGTGCAAAGCTGTGTATATTTCCATTACAAAAGGTGTTTGCCAAAATCAAAGCACAGCTACAGTTCAACATAGGAAAACAGTTGAATTTCACAGGCTATTGACAAATAATGGGTCAGACGCCATGAGATGCTGAGTAACTCCTGAGAGGAACTGAAGTGAAGCACAGCTACAGTTCAACATAGGAAACCAGTTGAATTTCACAGGCTATCGACAAATAATGGGTCAGACCCCATGAGATGCTGAGTGACTCCTGAGAGGAACTAAAGTAGGCAGGAGTAGAAGGTCCTCAGCACCTTGGAGCAAGCTGCAAACTTGGCCAATATGCTAGGATACCCAGCTCTGCAGTAGCGCCCCAGTTTATTAAGGCAGTTTAGTGCATGCTGAGATCCCATTGAATTGGTTAGGACTTAAGCACACGGTGAATGTTAGGTGCTTTGTCTTAGGCTCTTAAACTGAGACAAATGTACCTAAAATAAAGTGTCTGAGTGCTGATATGTGTGTCCAAATGTACAACATGATATATCAATTTAGGCTCTAACAAATTAGAAAATAGGTGTCCATTGCATAAAAAACTATTTTTGCATAGGTGTGTATAAGTAATCTGTGTGTATATTGGCTTTCATAAGCCAGTACAGATACATGGAGCAGTTAGAGTGTAAGTTACAATATACTTCAAAGAGTTAATGAGGTGTGTAGTGCTGCTGCAATACAATCAGCTTCCTGTTGACTAAAGGCCCAGCAGAGACTCTCTGTAACTCTAGCAGAAACAGCTCTTCTGAGTGATGATTTACAGGATATACACAAGCAGATAGTTGGCATCTGGACTGCTTTGGGTGGTGATTGTATCAGAGCTAGATTGCTGGAAGCGACCGCTTTCTGGTGAGTTGCAAAATGGAGGTCCTGACTGCAAATGACCATCAAAACTTATAGATTTCACAAGTGTAAAAATGCTAATGCAGTGCCCTGACTATATTCTAGTTTGTCTAGTTGAATTCCTCCTGCAATTTCAGTTGGATAAGACTTCTGTTCAGAAGGTGGCATTGCAATGTGCTACATTGCACTCCAGAAGTGGCTGCACTACAAAGACAGGCACCGTTATTCTAATTAACTATTTCATTAATACAGACCCCAGTATGGTGAGCATGGTATGGAGAGTAAGCAGAGATAGATAGTGAAATTAATAGCGCTCTAATTTGGCAACTACATAGCAGTGATTCTGAATGGAATGTATAATATCCTGAGGATTTTTGGTTTTTAAATAGGTCTTTTGCAATAAAAGGACAAGATGAGCATCCAAAACTGTGTTAGGTCCAAATCACCTCACGGACTCACCTCACTCCTTTAGAATTTTAGAAGCTGGGAAAAACGAGGCTGAATTTAGCTCAGTGTGCATTGTTCATGTGTTATCATGAATAAATATGACACCTATCTGGAGATCACTGATAATCCAGTTATAAAGTATGTCACATGCTTTAGTATATTTAAATTAAATGTGCTTTCTTGGTGGTTGTTGTTGTTATTATTATATCAATTGCATCAACCAATAATCTCACTACTTCAATGCCTCTGCAGGTTCTGTATGATAATCCCTATTCCTTTACTGAGTCTCATGAAATTTACATCACATTTATAGAAGTTAGCAGCTGCTAGTGGTTGGCAGAGCAATCTGCCTTGTGCATCACTGGAACACTATCTCCTGAAAGTTGTGGAAGGAATACTTCCTGAGGTTTATAATCCAAACCTACAGGACGTTATAAATATCTGTGCAGGGTCAGGTTGTGTGCTTGGAGAAATGATACATGAGGTGAGTGACGCAGGCATTTGGCTGCTTCTCATCCAGAGCAAGAGCTATGTTACATTTACATAACATGATCTGAAAACGCCTTGGGCTCTCCGGATCTGTCAGTTCCATTTCTGAGATGCAGCCTGCCCCCTGCACAAATGGGATTATGCTGTTGTAATATGGGTTACAAATTGGGTTAGAGTGATTGTTTAGTCCTGATGCACAGTAATGAGAGCCCTGAAGAAAGCAGATGCTAGGTTAAGTGGTTTCTGGGAATTAATGCAGGTGGCTTTGGGGTTCCTGCACCTACAGAAAAGACAATGAAATTATTTAAACAGCTGAGCCATTTTTTATAGAGCAAGCCATTATTCCAACAAGTGAGCATATATATTGAATGTATACAGTCTCTGATTATAATGGCACATTCCTTAAAGTGATTATAGAGAGTGTGTTTGTAGCTTAGTGTAATCGTATTACGGTGCTGACATAAGTATACCGTATCTTTCAGCGGGGCTGAACTGAGCTCTGCAATTATCTTACTTACCTTTATTGTCCCTCACTAACCACTGACACCTGCACTGCACCCTTTTGGTAAAGGCTAATAACTTAATTATAATACATCTGTACAAAGTAAACAGAGTTATGGTTGTGTGTCACAGTTAGCACTTCCTGACTTAGGTCCCTTAGCTGTGTAACTTTATCACGGCAATCATTGTTCTTTATAGCCAACTTTTGTATATGCACTGACACGGCCCCATTTTCAAAAGGGTGCTTTCTCTTTTTAAGGCCCAATTTGCAGCTGCACAATTCACATCCCTATTTTTGTACCTACAGTTCAACTGAAGGTGCTGTTCTCATACCTGCACCTTTTTTTTGACTATGGGAGTAAATCAAATACCCAGAAATGCATGTACTCCAGTTCATTTTCAGTTCATCTGTGAGTACAAGATCTGGGTACATACTACCCCAGTATAAAAGAGACCAAGACTCAACCCTTTCTTAAAATGAACCCCATAATTCCTAAAGGCAGGAGTTCATACCTGAGGTGCTTCAACCTAAAGAGGGGCTGTAAATAGGGGAAATAATACTGCAACTACCCTCTCTTCGACATATTTCTGAATGGGAGGGAAACTCAGGCTAGTCTCAATATAGAAAGGGGATGGTGATATGGATAAGGCTAAGAACTCTTACTTCTGATACACCATAGTATCTCAGGGTATCAATAAATCCCCATACCAATGTGTTTGCCACATCCTTTGTTTTCAGAATTTCACTTGTTTCTGAACAAGGATCGCAGTAGTTATACTGAAAACACCTTTTAGATCAGCCTTGCCAAATTTTAATCATCCCTTTGCCTCTGGCAATTTTTTTAGCATTGGCTAAAATATTAATATCCTTAGAATTGTCATTGTCATCATGATCAGATTGAGTTTTATGCCCTGTCTGGTGATTTGTCATGCTATTATAAGGCTGAATGAAGTCATACAAAGGCAGGCTATGGTCCTCTGAGACTTTTAGAGAACTGTTTTACCCCCATATAATTAAGTTAGCCATCACCAGGATACCTTCCTTAAACATAAACACAAAAAATCTCATACCAGCAAGAATGAACATTAAAGTTATTGTTGGAGATGCATATAATATAGATGCAGATGTGCTTTGAGAGGGCTATTGCCATGTGTTTTTAAAAGCCTACTTATAACATAGTATTTGCTCTCCTTATGTTCAAGCTTTGATAAGCAGTGCGATAGTTTTTACAATTGACATTTAAAGTTTTGTTGCTGGCCTCTGAGGCTATGTTTATACTGCACACTTATTTTGAAATAACTCAGGTTATTTTAAAATAACAGAGTGCGAATCTACACAGGAAGCCTGTTATTTCAAAATAATTTCAAAATAACAGGCTTCTTACCACAACATCTATAACCCTCATTTCCTGCTGTGTAGACAGCGCCAACAGCCGAGTTAAGCTACTTCAACTTCAGCTATGTAATTAACATTTCTGAATTTGCATATCTTTACTCGAAAAGCTTGCCAGCTGTCTACACTGGCCGCTTGAATTTCCACAAGAACACTGACGATCTCATGTAAGAAATTAGTGCTTCTTGCAGAAATACTATGCTGCTCCCGTTCGGGGAAAAGTCCTTTTACGCAAAAGCTTTTGCGCAAAATGGCCAGTGTAGACAGCTCAGATTTGTTTTGCGCAAAAAAGCCCCGATCGTGAAAATGGTGATCAGGGCTTTTTTGCGCAAAAGCGCGTCTAGATTGGCCACGGATGCTTTTCCGCAAAAAGTTCTTTTGCGGAAAAGTGTCCGTGCCAATCTAGACGCACGTCTCTGCAAATGCTTTTAACGGAAAACTTTTCCGTTACAAGCATTTGCAGAAAATCAAGCCAGTCTAGACATAGCCTAAATGTTTTAGAAGGTCACATCAGATTAACACCCAAAATGTTAGGTTGTTGTTGTTCTTTTTAATCAGTTCCTAGTCTGCATCTATATGTCTGTTATTCCCAAAGTGGATTCCTAGGTAATGATTAAATATGTATGTTCTATTGATATATATTTATTTATTAGAGCACATACACATTAAAAACTATGATTACGTGTTGGCAAATGTGTGAGGGCATAAATTGATGTAATATATGAACCAAGGCAAGCCAGAAGTACGAGGTTGTAGAAGGGAATCAGTCCATCATAAGAAGGATGACCTTTAGCTCAAGGCACTGGACTGGTAATCAATTTATTTGGATTCAGTCCCTGGCCCTGCCATAGACGTCTTCAGAGAACTAGGAATAAATAATAGTTTAGGCCTCAATTCTCCAGCTACAAAGTAGGACTAATACCTGTAATAGTTCCTTTGTCTAGAATTTATACTTAGACTGAAAACTCTCCATTACACAGACTGTCTCTCATCATGTGTGTGTATATACAGCACCAAGCAGAAAGGGGCCCTCATTTTCATTGGGGTTTCTATATGTTTATACAGATAAAAATAACAGTAGCTTGCACTCTGTAGCTTGCACTCTCCTATCAGTTGCTTTCTCTTCTATAACTCCACATTTTCACCTCTCTCAGGGTAAGATACGACAACTTACATTCACCCACTTATATCTTCTTGCTAATGTGAAACTTCCTCCATTATTTACATCACATCTGCATTTGACCCATTGTGTTCACAGCAGACAGTTCATATATCAGTAGGGAAGAATCGGGGAAGCTGATTTTAAGTGTTCAGAATGACCTGAAAGAGAAAAGCCCCTAAAAAATCTCCAGCCTTTGATATCACTGATAACTTTTCCTGGAACCACATTCTGAGCTCAGTTATACTGTCATAAATGAGAATTAATGTAATTGATGTTAGTAGAACTATTAGAGATTGACAGCTGTGTAACTGAATTTAGTGTTTGGAGATATACAATATGTGGAATTCTTAATGCAAACCCTCACTAACTTTGGAACAGTCTCACATCCAGAATGGCACATTACAATTAAGTTGTTGGGTAGCTATTGATTAGAAGGGTACAATTATATATGGGTATTCAGATTACCTAAATTACCTGAATTCTATATATTCCCTGAGGTCTTTGTGGCTTGCTGTGTCTCAGTTGGTAATTGGCTTTGCTGGAAATTTGATTTTAAAGTTTTGACTTTTTTTTTCCCCTCCTCAGTTTTGTGCAACACTCGGAACCACACCTTGTTGCTCCTTCGACAATCTGTTAGAACTGGGTCCTATTTGTAAGTCTCTCTCTGCTGTTTTTCTCTAAATTTAAGTATAGGTTATGGCCTCTTGCTGATTCATTTTCTGGGTGTTATGTAGTATCAGTGTACAAATGTAATAATTCTGTCAATAAATCTTTCACTTGCAATTGTTTTCAAAAATTTCTTCAAACAGCAAACTTTCATTTTCAAGCCAGATCGCTAAAGGGTAAGCTTCAAAGATTTTTTTTTAAACTCTCTTTTCTGGCAACCTATTTTAGGACTACAGAATGCTTATGGGCTTGCCTTTTTGGATCCTTTCTTTGATCTGTTCTGAATGGGTCAGAAAACTTCCACCTAAAGAAGATGAAAAAAAGCTGAATGTTGTGTCCTTCTTTGAGCTCCTCTGCCATTTTGCATCAGGCAGGACACATGTGAATTAGGTGATACACAATGATGGATTTAAGTAGCAGGTTGCAACTTTATTAACTTATCACTGTTATCTGTCTTGTATCCAATATATGAGGTATTTACATGAGCCCAGTGCAGGATTACGGGGTTCCCACCATATAGCCAATAACTAGGAGTGGAGTTTTTTCACTCCTTTACTGATCCCGACTCCTGTTTCTTAGGCTGGGAGGCAGATCTAGGGGCTCTTCACATCTTCTGGGCTGGGTGATTCAGGGGGAGTAGAGGAGCAGATGCACCATCCTGTCCATATTTCTCACAGGAGGAGTGGGCAGGAAGAAGAAGTGGAGTTTTTCTTGGCTGGGCTCTTTCCTACCTCCTCCCCTCCTCTAAGCATGGTGAAGGGAGAGGAAAGAGTCCATCAGCTTCTAGCTGCATAGAAGTTGGAGCTTCTCACATCGTCTCAAGACAGGTTCCAACACCCTCTGAAATCCCTTCACTCGTGATAAAATCTTGAAAGTTGGCAATACTGGATTAATGAATGGGGGGAGGATCAAGGAGCCTCTTGACTCTCATCTTCTTCTGCCTGGCCACAAGGGATAGAGAGCTCACAGAGGAGAAGCCATCCCTGCATTCTTCCAGTGTGTGCCTCACCCTCTTTTCCTTGGGTCCACTCAAGTTTTCCACCATTCAACAGTGTGGATAGAATTTGTCCTCTCTTTGCTTCTTATGGAAACAAAAGAACTAAGAAGCAAAGGGGAAAAAGTATTTTCCTTGCCACCCCTCCCATTTACGCAATAGGGGCTAGAACAGGAGAGTTGCACTGACTAGATTATATCATTGACTGCAATGATAACGTTACCTGACACATTATGGAAAGCTTTGGCCTGGAAAAGTGTTTGATAAACATGTGCTCACTGCATGATCAGAGTGACATGCAGGTATAGATTGCATCTGGAGTAGCAATATATTTAGAATAAACATTTGGTAGTTATACAAAACATGACCTGCATATGGTGTTTGCTGCAATTTTCATTTAACTATTTTGGGCATCCACAAAGAAGAGTTTGGGGCACAAGGATATTGTATGAAAAACCAGAACTTTTGTCTAGTTAAAACTAGGATGAGATCTGATATGTTGTGAATTGATGCCAGGGCAAAACAAAAAATGCATGTTGCCCTGTTTGAACCCTGTGTTGTAATAATTTGTTTCTGTGTATACAGTACACACAGGCTTTAGTGCTTCAATCTGTTCCTAATCCTGTTCCCCTGGGCTGGTTGTCATCATTTGCTTAGCAGCTAGTAATAAGTATAGTGTTCAGGAAGTAGCTTTCAGACTCAATATCATAAAATAGGGACATATCATATTGAGGTAGAACAACCTATGAAAGTGGGGCTTGTTTCACTTTTGGTGAAAGCGCCTTTGTGCAGAAGTGGTCAGCACAAGACTAATGTGCTGCTTCAATCAACATCACCCTCAACATACATATGTATAAGTCGTAAAATGAGGGACATACCTAAAGCCAGGTAAATTCAGTAATTCAGGCAAAACAGCAATAATAACCTCGAGCATTTATTCAAATAAAAGCTGAGAATTCCTTTTGATGGGATACATATTTTTATGTTTTTACAAAGATTTATGCAAATGAATTTTAGTTCACAAGAAACCAAGCACTTCTGTAATTAATCTTTGCACATGAATGCTGATTTAAACCCTGGAATTAAGTTTTGGAGCTTCCTGCTCCATGTCTCTCTCCCTATCTCTCTGGGTATGTCTACACTGCATTCCTCTTTCAAGAGACAACATTGAAACAAACCAACCAAAATCAGTCACAACAGCCACCAAATACTTCTGGTGCACTTTTTACATTATCTATCAATCTATTTATCTCTCACACACACACACACACACACACACAGAGGGTATGTCTATACTGCATTCCTCTTTCAAGAGAGGAATGCAAATGCAGGCGAGCAAAATTGCAAAGGAAGCACGGATTTGAATTTCCCGTGCTTCATTTGCATAATGGCGTCCAAGCGCTTTTTTGAAATACCCTATTTTGAAAGAATAAACGGAGTCTAGATGGGGTTATTTCAAGAAAAAAACTCTTCTTTCGAAATAACCCTTAAGCCTCATTTTATAAGGAGTAAGGGTTATTTCAAAAGAAGGGTTTTCTTCTGAAATAACCGCATCTACACAGCATTTCTTTTTTTGAAATATAGTATTTCAAAATAGTGCCCGGATGTGATTATGCAAATGAAACGTGAGAAATTCAAATCCGCGCTTCATTTGCAATTTTGCTCGCCTGCATTTGCATTCCTCTCTTGAAAGAGGAATGCAGTATAGACATACAGTGTGTGTGTGTGTGTGTGTGTGTGTGTGTGATAAATAGATTGATAGATAATGTAAAAAGTGCACTAGAAGTATTTGGTGGCTGTTGTGACTGATTTTGGTTCGTTTGTTTCAATGTTGTCCAGTTAGCATCCAGAAATACTACCATGTGACTTACCATCTACAATCAGTTGCATAGGGTAAACAGTGAGATCCATACGCTAAAATAAAAACAACTGATTGAATAATTCAAGGTAACAGATGTGTAATACATCAATTTTTTCTCATGGTTTAATGTCCCAAAATGAATTGGCTGTTGTAAATAGTTTGTTCACTCTAAGACCCTAGAAACTCATGTTGTATAAGAATGGATCATTTAGAGTTCTCTCCATTGCTATAAGGGGCCAGCAAAGTTTAAATAAAAAAAGAATTGAGAGCTTTCTTTATAGAAATTAACACGTCACTAGATGTTTTTCAAGAAATATATATTTTTAGCATCCTGAACTGATCATAAATTAAGATTTTGTACTGAAAGTTTGTAGTAAATATAACTTGGAGTGTTTAAGGGCTCAATCCTGTTAAGAGAATTGTGGAACTGGGAAGGATCTCTGAGTATGAATTGTTTAGCAGAAGAGAGGTCTATGTCAGCTGATCACCTAGACCTCTGGCCTAGCTGAATTGATAAAATATGAATGACAAAGACTGGGAACCTTTTCAGTAACTTGGTCTAATGCAAATTAAGAAAGTGATATAATGAATAATTCTCTATTTATTTAATTTTCTTCATTTTTTCAGGCAACAAGGAGAACATCTGGATGCATATTGATGCCGCATATGCAGGGAGTGCTTTCGTCTGCCCTGAATTCCGACATCTTCTCAATGGAGTGGAGGTTTGTGATGCTCTCCAAGGGTACCCAGGGTTGTGTGGCACCTCACCATTACCTACCCTTCATGTGAAGCAGTCTTGTCTGTGTCTGCCATGGATCACTTCCCTGAAACCAGCAGCCTCTGGCAGTACAAGCATTGCTTTCCCAGTCCCTTCAGGCTTCTCTCTATGCAGGGAGTGATAAGCACACACCAATCCTGGAATACTCAGATAGTTCCTTGAAGTTTCCAGACCCTCACAATATTGCCAGGGCTGCTGTTCCTGAAGGAGAGTACATACCAACTTGTAAGATTTATCGTAGGACCATCAATTTGCTTAACATCATGGAATTAGGGGTGGGAGGTGTACGTGTGAATATACACATATATAGTGAAAACAAGAATAAGTGTATTGTCAAAGAATAGCGATTAATGGAATAGTGAGAGAGATTATCTAAATCAACTGGTAAAAGCTGGGTGCAAGCAAACAATAAGCATTTTAATATGGCTAAGTGTAAATGTTTACATCTGGGAACAAAGGATGTAAGGGACTCTATCCTGGGAAGCAGTGACTCTGAAAAAGATTTGGGGGTTGATAATCAGCTGACCATGTGTGTGAACATGCCATTGTGATTCTGTGACCAAAAATGACAGCCTAGGATGCATAAACAGGGGGATTGCCATATGAGCAGAAAAGTTCTTTTTACCTCTGTATGTGGTACTGGTGTCATTGCTGCCAGAATGCTATAGTCTGTGTCCATTTCTGGTGTCCACAATTTAAGAAGGACATTCATAAGTTGAACCGAACTCCAAGAAGAGTCATGAGAATTATTTGGGAGAAGTTTTATGCTTGTGCTATATAGGTGGTCAGAGTAGATGATCACAGTGGTCCCTTCTGGCCTTACACACTTTGGCTATTGGAAACAAATGGTTACATGCAAAACAGAATCATAACATGCTTTCTAGACACTAAACTTGATTAACAGTTACTTTCACCTAAAAACATTTATCTCATCCAATGTTCTCTCTAGCATACACCCCTTTTCAATAAGAGTCCCTCCTCTTCTCCCCATCCAGTATACTCAAATCTTTTATAGGAACCTCAACATAAGATTCTCTGGTCCTTTTGTATTTACTATCTTGTTGCTTCTATCTTACAATCCTTTATTTGCATTCAGTTCAGACTGGAGATAGGAGACCCACTGTAAACAAAACAATTCTCAATTTATATGTAAACGGGGGAGTGGCATCCCAGTCTGACAGCAGTTTTTCACTCTTCCTTGTATCTAATACCTTGGTACAAACTTTAAGAACATGTTTACAGTGTATGTCCATAAATCCTTACATAGTATCTGTACATATACTGCATAATGATATTGACCAATGTGACACCAGGACAGTGATACTGACATTGAAATGCTGAGGGAGATTAGAGAGGCTGCCAAAATAAAGAACTCTATAATAATGGGGGATTTTAATTATCCCCATATTGAATGGATACATGTCACCTCAGGAAGAGAAGCAGAGATAAAATTTCTCAATGGCTTAAATGACTGCTTCTTGGAGCAGCTGGTGCAGGAACCCATAAGGGGAGAGACAATTCTCGATTTAGTCCTGAGTGGAGCGCAGGATCAGGTCCAGGATATAACCGTTACAGGACCGCTTGGGAATAGTGACCATAATATAACAACATTCAACATTCCTGTGGTGGGAAGAACACCTCAGCAGTCCAGCACCCTGGCATTTAATTTCAAAAAGGGGAATTACGCAAAAATGAGGTTAGTTAAACAGAAATTAAAAGGCACAGTGACTAGAGCCAAATCCCTGAAAGCTGCATGGAAACTTTTTAAAGACACCATAATAGAGGCCCAACTTAAATGTATACCCCAAATTAAAAAACATAGCAAGAGACCTAAAAAAGAGTCACCGTGGCTTAACCACCATGTAAAAGAAGCAGTGAGGGACAAAAAGGTATCTTTTAAGAAGTGGAAGTCCAATCCTAGTGAGATAAATAGAAAAGAGCATAAACACTGTCAAATCAAGTGTAAAAATGTCATAAGAAAAGCAAAAAAAGATTTTGAGGAACAGCTAGCCAAAAACTCAAAAAGAAATAACAAAATGTTTTTTAAGTATATTAGAAGCAGGAAGCCTGCTAAAAAGCCTGTGGGTCCCCTAGATGATCGAGCTATAAAAGGAGCAATCAAGGACGATAAAGGCATTGCGGAGAAACTAAATGATTTCTTTGCTTCAGTCTTCACGGCTGAGGATGTTGGGGAGATTCCTGAATCTGCACCGTCCTTTGTGGGTGATGAATCTGAGGAACTGTCCCGGATTGAAGTGTCATTAGAGGAGGTTTTGGAACAAATAGAAAAACTTAATGTTAACAAATCTCTGGGACCGGATGGCATTCATCCAAGGGTTCTAAAAGAACTTAAATGGGAAATTGCTGAGCTATTATCTGTGATTTGTAACCTATCCTTTAAATCAGCTTCTGTCCCTAATGACTGGAAGGCAGCCGTGACACCAATATTTAAAAAGGGCTCTAGAGGCGATCCTGGCAATTACAGACCGGTAAGTCTAACTTCAGTACCGGGCAAATTAGTCGAAACAATAGTAAAGAATAAAATTGTGAAGCATGTAGAAGAACATAATTTGTTGGACAAAAGTCAACATGGTTTCTGTAAAGGGAAATCCTGTCTTACTAATCTATTAGAGTTCTTTGAAGGGGTTAACAAACATGCGGACAAGGGGGATCCAGTAGATATAGTATACTTGGATTTTCAGAAAGCCTTTGACAAGGTCCCTCACCAAAGGCTCTTGTGTAAATTACATGGCCATGGGATAAGAGGGAAGGTCCTTTCTTGGATTGAGAACTGGTTAAAAGACAGGAAACAAAGGGTAGGAATAAATGGTAAATTTTCAGATTGGAGAGGGGTAACTAGTGGTGTACCCCAAGGGTCAGTCCTGGGACCAATCCTTTTCAACTTATTCATAAATGATCTGGAGAAAGGGGTAAGCAGTGAGGTAGTAAAGTTTGCAGATGATACCAAACTGTTTAGGATAGTCAAGACAGAAGCAGACTGTGAGGGACTCCAAGAAGATCTCACCAAACTGAGTGATTGGGCAACAAAATGGCAAATGAAATTTAATGTGGATAAGTGTAAAGTAACGCACATTGGGAAAAATAACCCCAACTATACGTACAGTATGATGGGGGCTAATTTGGCTACAACGAATCAGGGAAGAGATCTTGGAGTTATCGTGGACAGTTCTCTGAAAACTTCCACGCAGTGTGCAGCGGCGGTCAAAAAGGCAAATAGGATGCTAGGAATTATTAGGAAAGGGATAGAAAATAAGACCCACAATATCTTACTGCCCCTGTATAAAACTATGGTACGCCCACATCTTGAATACTGTGTACAGATGTGGTCTCCTCACCTCAAAAAAGATGTTTTGGCCTTGGAAAGGGTTCAGAAAAGGGCAACTAAAATGATTAGGGGTTTGGAACAGATCCCATATGAGGAGAGGTTAAAGCGTCTGGGACTTTTCAGTTTAGAAAAGAGGAGACTGAGGGGGGATATGATAGAGGTCTATAAAATCATGAGTGGTGTGGAGAGGGCTGATGAAGAAAAGTTATTTATTAGTTCCCTAAATAGAAGAACTAGAGGACACCAAATGGAATTAATGGAGAGCAGGTTTAAAACTAATAAAAGAAAGTTCTTCTTCACACAGCGTGTAGTCAACCTGTGGAACTCCTTGCCAGAGGAGGTTGTGAAGGCTAGGACTATAATAGAGTTTAAAGAGAAGCTAGATAATTTCATGGAGGCTAGGTCCATAAAAGGCTATTAACCAGGGGATAAAATGGTGTCCTTGGCCTCTGTGTATCATAGAATTGGTGTCCCTGGCCTCTGTCTGTCAGAGGCTGGAGAGGGATGGCAGGAAACAAATTGCTTGATCATTGTTTTTGGTCCACCCTCTCTGGGGCACCTGGTGTTGGCCACTGTCGGCAGACAGGATATTGGGCTAGATGGACCTTTGGTCTGACCCAGTACGGCCGTTCTTATGTTCTTATGTTTTGTACATTTCACAATAACATTGATAACTAGTGTTACACCGTCTTTCATTTCAAACCACGTATAACATTCGTTAGTGAACTAGAATGTACATCACAGAATCAGGAGACTACTGTAAACTCCCCCTCCCCCACATACATTCTTGTCAGTTGACACTAAGAGGTTCTTGGGTCAAAACCAACAAGGAGAAGCTCCATGGATTCTTAAACCTCTGCTTTCCTCTGACTGTACCCAGAGCTATATCAGTATTCCACACTTCTGAACAATGTATGGATAGTGATGCATAGAAACCAAACTTTGTATAAATCTGGTCATCTGAGCAAACTTATTTCCTTACTGTGGTCCTGAGCACATCCCTCTGGTACTGTGAAAAAGTACAGGAAGAGGAGGCATTGATCTGTGTATTTTATCATAAGCCCTTGCACCCAGCCAGCCCAGTCCCTCTCCCCTTCCCAAAATGACCCCCAAATCAGGTGAAAAGATTTTAAGAGGACTTCCTTTAAATTCCAAGAAGGGCAGGATTATATCAAAATGTTGGATTTTTGATTCGGTCTTCTATTCAGTCAGTTGTTAAATTCGATCCAGATCCAAATTTCCCCTAAAGTTTGGGGAGAGGGCTTTGTGTCCAGTGTTTTAGTTTGGGCCCCTTTTAATCACCATTCAACACATTTGTGCTACAAGCTAAGCTACCAAAGGCAGCAACCTAAACCCACTTCGTAACTGTGATTCTAGGCATATTAGTGAGGAATGTGATAAGGCAACATTAAAAGATGTGAGAACCATAGATCCACTTTTGATATGCTCCTCTTGGGAATCTATCCTCACAGCTGCTTTTAGACCATTAATTGTGTGCAAAAATGGGGACTTGAAGACAGACAAAATTGTTCCACGAAGAAGCAAAAATTAGCTTTGACAACTCACACAATTTTATCATATCAAAAGTGGTTTTAATTTATAATAGTTACTATGTCAGGTAAAACCATTTCTACCATCTTTACACTAGAGTAGATAGAATACCAGTGTATATATAAACGTTTGCCGTTCAGAGCACCTAAGTAACATCAATTTAACCAAGCCTGAGAAAGGGGGACTTTTGCTTAAATATTTATATGTGTTGTTTAACATTTACAAATATAACCACTACTTCCTTATCTGTTTTGAAAGCAAGACAAAGAAGTGTTACTATATGCCTCCTAAGGGACATATAATGCCAGGCTGTGGCTGTGTCTACAACTGACTGGGTTTAATATTTGAAAATGAGTCAGTTGAAATTTTCTTCCAATAACTCTCAGGGTTTTTTTTTCCTTTCCTCTCACTGAGTCACTTGACACTCAGTTGCTTAGATAAGGGTACTGCAATTTCCTGATGCTTCCCTCACAGTGTCAGATAAGTCCTTGTCTCCACAGTCAATGGAGAAAATATCACTGTTTGGTAAAGAAAGAAATTTAAACAGAGCAGCTTTGATGGACAGAGTAATAAAAAGAGGAGGAAAAATCTAACAAATGAAACATTTCTCTCGTATACTGTTTTTTTATCAGCAAATAAAGCTTGCTGTAATTTCCTGTGTGGGTTTTATTAATTATTTTTATTGGTTCCTAGAGGAAATGAATCAACATCCATAGCACAGACAGCATCTGTCAGTGTAGCAACTATTCAACAGCTATGAATAGATTCCCTACCTCAGATACTAGAAGGATAAAAAACCTCCTCCAATGTGGGCAACCATTTCCCTTTCACTAAAGATATGGAAGTGAATGAGAAACCAGTGTGAAAAGATAGCTATTAGGTGAAGACTGGTGCTTCAAGATCCCCAGTTCTTTGTGTCCCTGATGTTCAAAATCAATGGCCACCATAGGACCTAAAGGAGAAGATTTTCAACACAAATGTCCTTCATACCTTCAACAGTTTGGGAAGCTACCTTGAATAAATGTACAGTAATGCAAAGTTGATGGTGTTTAATTTAATGTACAGGACCTCCCTGCATTACAACGGCCCGAGTTGCAACCCCCTGCACTTATGACCATTTTTTGTAAGTGCAGAAGGGACTGAAAACCTCTGACTTACGTCCTCAGCCCGCATTTACGACAACACCCGGCGCCTATCGTAAATGCGGGTTTGAGTTACGATGCTCCTGACGTGCGACGCTTCTCCGGGAACCAATTGTGTCGCAAGTCAGGGGCCGCCTGTGTAACCAGGAGTGCCGTGTAGCACTTGTTAAAAGTTGTATCTAAATTTAGTTCAGATGAGAAATGACTTTTAGACTAAATGAAAAAGATTTTAGGGAGAAATGATTTTTGACCAGCTCTAATTCTCTGCCTAGAATTACTGAAACACAGCTCCATATCAAAATCTATTGCCTCTGTATGTGCATGCACATATAAAGTGTATGTACATATTAATAGCATTAATTTCTCACTCTATGAAATAGTGGAATCTGGGAACCTCTGAATAGAAAATGGAATAAAAAACAAAATGTGGGATGTCTTTTGTTTACATTGAGATGGAGATGTTTATATATTATATATATTAAAGTTCAATAAAAGCTATATAAAGAGCACATTATCAATGACACAAGTGAAACATTCAAGATTTAGGAGATGCCATAAGTTAGGTTGTCCAAGCAGAGCCATCTCTAGGGTATAGCAAATCAGTGACTGCTTTGGGATACCCATTTTGGGGGCCACCACAGGCCAGTGAAATTGGTTGCATGGTTGGCCTCAGAATTATTTGTCACTTCTGCCCTGTGTTCAAGCACCTTGAATTCTGCTCCCTCATGTGTATGCAGAATAGCTGTGAAGAAGCAAAGTGTACTTAAACCTGTGTACTTTGAGCATTCATATAGTCCTGTTGACATCTGAAGACTTACATGAGGCTTAGATGATAAATATTCCTTTTGCTGGTCCTCTGTGCAGGGTGAATTTCACCCTGCGTGCACATGTAACTGTAACTGTAACCGGGCGCATTTAAACTTGGGACCTCTGGAGCTTAGTGTGTAGAGCCTCTACTGCTTGAGCTAAAAGACAGCTGGCTCTTAGCTTAGGCTATAGAGCTCTCTTGATCTTATCTCTTGCTATAAGTGATCTAAGTGCCACTACATGGGACAGTGAACCACACTAGGTATATGAGTTACATAACCATCATTTACGTTAGATGGAATTACATTGTTATCTTTAAATCCCCAATTCAGGAAAACATCCCTTTTGTTTTAGTGCTTTCCTGAATCTTGGTGCAATTGGGGAAGCTGACAGTGCTTTTATAAGTTAAGGCTTTGAAACTTTTTTTTTCTAATTCTTCCTTTTTTTTTTTTTTTAAACCCTGTCAGTTTGCAGATTCATTTAACTTTAACCCTCACAAATGGCTCCTAGTGAATTTTGACTGCTCTGCTATGTGGTAAGTAGCACAGGATGTGTAAAGTTGTCAGAAACAAAGATGTTTAAAAATACATATTCCCTTTGTCACATAGAAATATGTAGTTTTGTCTAGTGTTTGCCTGATGTGAATGATTCACAGTAGCATGAAAAATTGTTTGACTGAGGTGGTAGAAAACCAGAGACAAGTCTGAGCCCTGATGTTTGGAACTAGACATGAAAATTCAGGAGATATAGCAAAGAAATGAGTTGTACCTTACACCAAACTTCTTTCTCTATTTTGATAAGGTTTCTCTGAGTCTTGATTGCAGACTTTAAAAGTCTTTGTTTATAGAGACTGGTCTTTTGGTAGATTCAGAGCAGGACAATTTAAAAAAAGCCTTTGTAAATGTTTTTCAATTATTTTCATCATTCATGTGTGAGGATCGAGACTGCATTTTGTATTCTAGGACGCAACATGGAGAAACAAACCTGTAGGTATATCATGTTCACAAACCAAAAGGGCCTAATGAAAACAATCATCATCACAAGAAAAATAATACAAAATTTCCATAGCTGAAAATTCCATAGCTAAGACTTAGGCTATGTCTACACTACAAAGAAAAGTCGGAAAAAGAAACTCAAAATTGTGAACTGCAATTTGCGATCTTTTTCTGCTTTTCTTCCGAAAGAGGCCTACACAGGGCCAAATGTTGGGGGAAAACCCTCTTTCAGAACATCCTTTCTTCCTTGTTAAATGAGGTTTACAGGGATGCCGACAAAACACGTCTGCTTTTTCAAAAAAAATTTCGGAAAAGCAGACGTGTTCCTTGGATGTGGCAGAGCTTTTTCACATGTACTGTCAGAGTTTCCCAACAAAACCAATATTTCTAGCATCTCACAGTCATATTCCTTATGATTATGCTGATTACAAAAAGAGCTGCTCAGGAAATGGTAAATATTTTCCATGAAAATTAAAATAAAACTTTAAAAAAGTGAAAAATGCCTTTCACTTTTTGCTGAAAAACTTTGAAAAATTAAAATAAAAAAAAACAAAACAAATGAAAAATTTGGAATAGTACTAATTACTAGTACTCTCTCTTCCTTATCTTCAACATTTTTAATGTTGTATCAATGTCATCTTCCCTTGTTTCAAAAATATATATCACCATATAATAGGAGTTGTTCAGCTATTAGGTTAGAGGTGTTTAAGTCTAAGCTGTCCAGATCAGAGTCCTAATGCAAATGTACTTCTTTTTGTAGGTATAAGTTGGTTATTGTGATCAATTATTACTCTAATACCTAGGAGTCCTCATCATGTACTCGGTGTGTATCTAGACTACATCCCTCTTTCAACAGAGGGATGTAAATTAGACACTTCAAAATTGCAAATGAAGCCGGGATTTAAATATCCTGTGCTTCATTTGCATAATCACGTAATGGTGCTCTTTCGAAAAAGCACTCTTTTGAAATTGAAACCGCAGTCTAGATGTAGTTCTTTCAAAAACGGGACACTTTTTCGAAAGATCCTGTAAACCTCGGTCTTTCGAAACAAGGATCTTTCGAAAAAGCGCCCTGTTTTCGAAAGATCCGCGTCTAGACTGCGGTTTCAAATTCGAAATAGTTCTTTTTTGAAAGAGCACTATTATGTGATTATGCAAATGAAGCACAGGATATTTAAACTTCGGCTTCATTTGCAATTGTGAAATGTCCAATTTACATCCCTCTGTTGAAAGAGGGATGTAGTCTAGACACACCCTAGGACCTCCATTATGCACAGTGCTGTGCAAATGAGCAAAAGCTCAATCTGTTTCTAGTGTTCTGATTCTGCCTCATCTATTAGTGGTGGTCACATCTCAGTAAAGAGTATTTTGTGGTGTAACCAAACCCCTAGAGGGTAATTATCTTACAATGAGATGTGTGTCTCTGTAGCCATTAAGAAGAAGGGTAGGATTCTTTTTCTAGCTTCCTCCTCAACTCCCTTTCATGCTTCTTAGAACCAAGTTACAGCCGTTAATGGAAGTGATGAAATAAATCATCATATCTTTATTGTGGCTTTCTCTCTCAATTCACTTCTCATCAATCAGTGGGCCTCATATGGCAACACAAAATGGTAATAAGAAACTCAGTAGCCATTCATGAGCAGTGAAGGTAAACTCTTTGAAAGGAAAGGTTGTGTAAGTCACCAAATAGCTACCAAATGGTGCAATTTCCAGACATTTTAGAGTCTGAATTTGCTCTTGATTGCACTGACCTAAATCGATGGCATTATACATGGGTGGTGGGTGAACCTAGGGCTGGGGGAGGCAAGCTCCCAACCCTGCCCTCCTACCCGAGTCCCCACCTCTGCTGCCTTGTTTGAGCCAAGGATCCCTCCCACTTTTAGGGGCAGGCCACCCCTCCCCTAGCTTTCTTAACCCTGGTTAGAGAACAGTATGGGGAAGACAGAGGGACATGCGGCCCCAGACCAAGCACAGACAAAGCAGCCCCAGCATACCCCAGAGCATGAGGAGGGTGGATCCCCAGCCCTGGAAAGTGCATGGCAGGCAGCCCCATGACCTCAGAGTATGGGCAGTGCCCAACCCCAGCCTCCCCAGCCCCAGGAGGGCTGGTGGCATGGCCCCTAACCTCTGCAGCACTGAAGCCCAGACAACCCTGGGAAACTGGGAGAGATGGGCTGAAGAGAGGCAGGAGCTGGGAAAGGAATGTGGGCTGACAGTTTGGGAAGGCATTGTCTTCTCCTACCTCTTATACCTGCTGCTCACGGAGTTTAATGTAAAACTGAGGTAAACTGGAGGAGACTCAAGCGCTTAGGAAGAGATTTTCAAAGTCACAAACAGCAGTGAGACCCCCCATATTCATTGGTGTCTTGAAAAATCTCCCCCTGAATTCCTTCCCTTCATAATTCTGTGATGCCACGTTAAAAGCATACAAAAAGAATTACAAAGCTTTTTTTATTGTATTGCTCCTATTCTTCTAAAACCCAGACATTTAAAAATCTGTGTACAGGCAGTCCCCGAGTTACGCGGATCCGACTTATGTCGGATCCACAGTTAGCGGGGGGGGCGTTCCCCCCCCCCCCCCCCCCGCCTCCTCTGGGGTGAGAAAAGCTGCTCCCCGTCTCCCTGGTCTGCTCTATTCAGAGGAATGTGTATTGTTCACTTGGGGTTATGAAGTTTTAATGTGCAAATCTCAGCCAGTTTATATACATCACAATGAGTCTATTAGTGTGATATCACATCTCTAGAAAAACTTCAGCCCCCATAAGGTATCAAAGGAAATTTCTAAAATATGTATAGAGGCCTTAAATCAGGCAATAATATGTACAAATAAAGGTAAGGACATGACTTATATCCACAAATGTATTCGCTGGTAGAAGCTAAAATCCATTTTGGGGAAGTTTAACTATTCAGGGTAAAATATAAACCTTGGTATGTGCAGATGCAGCTCTATTGATTTATTTTTTAGGATTTTCTTGGGATATTCAATTTTTTTACATAAAGCCCTCTCAAATACATGGTTTCTTATTGTCAGCTAGAATCTTTGAGACTTTTACCTGGGAAAAATTGTATCCCACAGGTAGGCAATAATTTTTGATGAAGGCCACTCCAAGGTTTTGGTAAGTGGTCCAGGGCTGCACTTTTCTATGGATAGGGTACAGGGTCTGGGACAGGGTTTGGGTGCAGAAGGGAGCTTGAGGTCGGTGATTTCAGTGCAGGAGAAGGTGTGGGTCCAAGAGGGGGTTTGGATAAAGGCTGAGGTCATGACCTAGGGCAGGGAATTGGGTGCACAGTCTAGGATGAGGTATTGGTGCAGGAGAGAATTTTGGCTTGAAGGAAGGGTATAGGAGGGGGTACAGGGTCTGGGAGGGAGATATGACCTGGGGCAATGGGTACACAGGGCTTGGGTGGTGACCTGAGGTAGGAGGGGGTGATCACCCAGGGCAGGGCATTGTGGTGCAGGATGGGGTGGGATGTCAAAGACAGGCTCTGGAAGGGAGACACTTACTGAGGTGGCTCTCAGCCAGCAGCTCATCAGGACCCTCAGGCGGACTACCTGCCTGCCACAACCCCAGGCCAATCAAAGCATCTGGCTGCTCCATGTGCCTCTCTGCACCACATGCCCCTTATGAGAGAGGAGGCTTAATGTGCTGCCTCTACCCCCAGTACAATCTCTCAGCTTCCCGGTGTGTGGCACAGAGAGGCACATGGAGCAGCCAGTCACTTTGAGCAGCTTGGGGCTGCTCTGTACCTGAGGGTCCAGGCAGAATGGGCCACAGGCTGGATTCAAAGGCTTGGCAGGTTGGCCTTCAGGCTGTATCTTTCCCCATCCCTGCAATCCCTTTTACAAACAATAAAATCAGAACTTGTTGGGCTCACCAACACAATAGGTGGTACCAGTCCATATAGCCACTTGTGAGCTAATGAGAGTGGGAGCTGAAAACATTTAGTACTTTTTAGTAGTAATTGCTATATCATACCAAATGTTTAATCAGATTTCCTGTCTCTGATATTGATCAATACAGGATGTTGCAACAGAAGGAGTGGACTTCTAATTCTAGTAGTTCATTGCCTTGTACTTCTATAATATGGTAGCAGTTTCCTCCAGTCCCCACATGACTCATGTAAATAATTAAGTAGGTGTGTAACTTGGTGCACAAGTCCCATTGATTTCAACTGCAGCTAATGCAGTTAAAATTATGCATGCTGCTTATCGCCCTATATATAAGGAACAAATGTTATTTTTTGGAATATGATACTAAGTGCACATAGAGTGTTTCTCACACATACACACACATGCATACAAAGAGTAAGATACTGGAAATTAGATGTATAAGGTAGAAATTTACAAATAATTCACAAACGAACATGCAGAATACCGTACAATAAATGGGATTGCTGACCATTTTCTCTTCCCTGTCCCATACTACCGATCTTAGTTATTTTATCAAATATTTACAAGCCTAATATGGTGACAAAATAGTCTCTACCTTTGAAGCATCTAGAATCACCTTACTGGGCATGTAGAATGCCCAATGCTTTTTGTATGAATGACTTCCACTATAAATAAACATTATGCATCAAAAGATTTATTATCACTGATCAATATGATGTAGCTTCTTCCCTTTATAAGCAAAAATAAATATCTGTGCTTCTGAAACTTAATCCAGCTACACTTCCCACTAGTTTTACACTCAGTGGAGCTTATCTTTCAGAGATCATTACATTATAAAGGTTGCACTTCTGTAGCATAGCACCCTTGGGACCTGACCGGTTCCAAACCAGAGAATTTGTTGAACTACAGGAGGTCGGTATTGTCTAGAAGCATTACCAGCACTTCCACTGCTTACTGGGCCCTTAGAAGATATTTAGGGGTAAATTAGAGCTAAATAACAGCACAGAACACTGAGAGCCAGCACTGCTGGCTGTAAACAAATAGTAGAGGACTGTGAGAAACTTGACCGCATCCATGATAAGTGAACATCTGGATAACTAAAATCATGCTAGATCACAGATGTTGCCGGACCAGAGTGTGCTGGACTAGAGAGGCTCAACCTTTATCAAGCCTTCAGAGACATGGTAGTTCTTACATTGCAATTGCTTCAACAAATAGCTAGGAATCTTGTATTTATTGCTAATTTTACTGTTGTCTTAATTAGCTTACATGTTCTACTGTGAATGCCTGTTTTTCCTGTGTGTGTTTGTTTCCTGTCTGTTTTTCTAACTATGCAGTTAGAGTTTGATTCTGCAAATCCTAACTTCGGGACTTCATGCTTACCACTGTGAAAGTAGGGTCATTATAGTAAATAAAGATTTACAGGAATTGGGCCCAAAATAAGGACTAGACAGTATATTAGAAATGTGACTGAAATTGATTTTCCTGACCTGGTTTTCATTATCCAATCAACATTTAACCGTCTTTTCTCTTAGATGAGACAATGCTGTGATAATCTAATCCATGTTTGATCTTTTGTGCAGGGTGAAGAAGAGATCAGATTTAACAAATGCCTTTAAATTAGACCCTCTTTACCTGCAGCATTGCCATCAGGACTCTGGTAACATTGCATTTAACTATGATCTGCGTTATCCACACTTCTTTTTTTAAATTGCAAAACGTAGTGAAAGTTTCAGAATAACATTTTTAGGATCATCTAAATCCCATTTTCAAAAATGACTAAGGATCAGATTTTCAACTATATTTAAGTCCCTATAGAGACAAATAATTGCCTAACCCTTATTTAAATCATTCAATATTTTTAAATAAAAAATATTCACTTTTTGTACTGCAAAAATAATTATTATTTTGCTTTTTTGCCCAATTCAGGATGAATTCATAATTTTCAAAATATTTGAGTTTCCCACAGGACAAAAATTCTGATTTTTAACCAGCTCTAGTCATAAACCTACATAAATTAATAGTCCAATTAAAAATATAATGTTTTAACTTGTATTTATGAAGTCCATTCCATTCACAGGGAAGATAGCTATATGCATGGATATGTTTTGCCAGCTTATTTGTGGTTTTCCAGCAAAAAAATCTTTATAGAGTTATCAAAACGGTCTGTATATATTTTAAGTTTAAATACTTAGGGAAAAGTTTTGAACAATATAGTGAGAAAGGAGAGTGACTGGTATGCAATGCAGGGCTTTACAGAGTGATGGGATAACTAGCTGCAATCTACAAGAATGCCAAAGTAAATGAAGAAAATTTGATGCTGGTTGATGGAAAACAATTTTATAAAACTGCATCATGATAATATCAGAATATTTGAAGCAAAGCACACACACATACACCCCTTTATATAGTGTCTCATTTATTAATTCTCTTACACTACATGGATAAGACTGTTCTTTTGCCCCTCAAGTTCAGCCTTTGGTCCCCTTGATTCAGGAGTTATATTGCCCTCCTTCAAGGTCTGCCCAATAACTCAGGCTGGCTGCAGTCCTTGCTCAGCTTCTCCAAGATGGCCCCTTTCATCTCTATCCTTTGATACCAGATAGACATTTGCATCTCTGGAAGCTTCTCCTTATCTCCAGGCCTCAACCGGTTTAACCACATGATTTACTTGTCATATAGCTACAATAATTTCCCCTATTTGGAGAAGAGGCCTGAAATAGTCATAGATGGCTCCATTACACTTTAAAGAGACAGGTACCCTAGGACAGGGAGTAAGTCAAGCCTACAAACCTTGTGTAGATTTGAGGGCTTTGTAAAATTCCAGTGAAGATATTGCAATCTTTGGCCATGCATAAGCTGCCTTGATGGGTCAAGGCAGAATGGCTCCAGTTCCGTCATCTGCTGCCCCTCACCCACAGTGCCCCCTATAATTGGTTATAATTGTGTAGGGTCAGATATAGTTGTGCAAGGTACCACTGATCAATGTTATAAGTTGCATAGTAACTTTTACTGCCTTGGAATGGAAACATACTCTGTCAAATGACTGGTCTCTTGACTCCTAATATTTCTGTTGAATATGCTCCCTTTTACCACAAGCACATGAGCCTCTGGGTAGCAACCACGAAGGTGCTAAGGAAACTGCACAAACTGAGTTGCACTTCCATAGCCATTGCCTTTCCCTTCTGTGTATCCCTCCTCTCCCATGGAATTAGGCTGATTTTTGTCTTGCCACTGTGTAATAAAAGGGGGGGGGAAATTCACAGTGAAATTGCTACATTATAAGGAGTTGGCCCTTGTTAGATACAGTTTAAAATAAATACTTAAATTATTTTTTGCAAATGTAACACAATTACATCTATCAAAAATAGGGTCCTTTACCAGGTCATTACAATGCATGATTTCTATCCTAAAACTACAAGAGGAGGAGTAAACATATGGGCTACGTCTACACTGGCCCCTTCTTCGGAAGAGGCATGCTAATTTCTAACTTTGGAATAGGGAAATGCACGGGGGATTTAAATAAAGATGGCCGCCACTTTTTTTCCGGCTTGGGGAAAAGCCGGAAAAGAGAGTTAGCTGCAGTCTGGACACTCTTTTCCGGCTTTTCCCCAAGCCGGAAAAAAAGCGGCGGCCATGTTTATTTAAATCCCGCGGGGGATATTTAAATCCCCCGTGCATTTCCCTATTCCAAAGTTAGAAATTAGCATGCCTCTCCCGAAGAAGGGGCCAGTGTAGACGTAGCCATGTTGTTTGGTGTGTATTACTTGTTATAAGAAAAAATGTAGCTGTACGACATTTTCTTGTTGCATCACCATTAATTTTGGCACCCAGACCTGAGATTTTCCAAACCCAAACTCAACAAATATCTCATCCTAATATAAATGAGGCAACCCTGGAGATAGAGAACAAAGTAATCTTTTCTATTCCTGTAACTTTTAAAAGACACAAGTACTAAATGTAAGGAATTTCCTAATTCCTGGCTATGTGGGCTGAACTTTGATTTTAATACAATTCAAATATAAAACAAAGAAATAATCAGAAAATTGCACAGGTTTTGGAGATGAGGTTCCTCCTCTCTGGGTAAAGTGCCCAAGAAACATATATTTTTAGAGCAATGTTTTTCTAAATGAGTATGACTACACATAGATACGGAGAGTTACCTACCTTATATGAAAATAGACTTTCTTTTTTAAAATTTTAAACTGAATATTAGCTGTCATGAAAATAGTGAAACTGGCAACACTAGAATGTGAGATCTTCTGTTTTCACCAGCAGGTAGAGTGCCTGCAAGAGAAAAGTAATCCCTGCTTAACATTGTCCACCAAACTGTTTTCTACTTGACCTGGGTGCTCCTCCTAATAGAGCCATTTCCTCTCCTTAATCTGCCAACAAAAGTACCAACTGTGGTGATATTTTTTTCTGATCTGGACATAGTAACCCAGCAAAATGTTCCATGAAGGTCCTCAGATGACAGCATCCCTTGGTCTTTACCAACCTGATCCAGATTTGAACCAGAAGATTAATTGCTTTGTGTCATGTCCTTATTGCCAGTCATTTCCAAGAAATAAAAGAGCCACATTTTTCAAATTCAAGTGCCTAAAGTGGAGCTGTTACATGCATATTTAGGCACCTAAGTAATTGCATGATTTTCGAAGCTGCTGAATGTCTGCAACTCCAGTTGACTTCAATGAGATATATAGGAGCTTAGCTCTTCTGAAAATCACACTACTTTTATTTAGGTGCCTAATGATGGGTGTACGTGCCTAATTGTGTGCACCCCAGTTGGAAAACTTCAGCCAAGAAAAACAGAATGTCAATTTAAACTTCATTCATCTATCACACAGGAATTTAAATGATTGGCAAAAAAAATCAATCTGTGTGCAATTATTCTTAATAACCTTCTAGCAATTACATACACCCATAAGAGGAAAGTCTTTATTTTGTCAGTAATTATAATTGTGTATGATTTGCTTCCTCGCACTAGAGAAATTATACTAGCCTGCCTGGCAACCCAAGGAATAGGTCAGATTCAAATGGCAGCGTTAGGAGGAAACAGATTTATATTCTATTGTGAATACCACATGTGCGCCCACAATTCAAATTCTCCTGATTAATGTAAGAGTAAGGTGTATAATCACTAGAAGAAGGACTAATCATTGATTGCTTTCTATTGCTCAGCTTATAAAAGGGGCCACTAATAGATTGTTAGACATGGCCCCTCACAGGAACATACGATTAGTTCCCTATCACCTGTTGCCTTAGTCTTTGCTACCGGCCTTACAACTGTTAAATTTTAATAGCTATTAATATATAAAAGGAAAAGAGTGTTATCAAATTGACTTATTCTTGGGACCCAACTGATCCTCTGCTAGTCAATGTGTGCAGTTTACTAGTGCAGAAGGGGCCCAAATGTGGATGAGAGTCCCATTGTCCTAGGTGCTAAATAAACATCTACTGAAGAGACAGTCATTGGCTTGAAGAATTTACAATTCTGATCATCACAAAAAGCAACTTGTTAATGAAGCCAATGAGTATGGGGACGAAGGATGAGATTGTAAAAATAGGAGTATTTTCCCACATAGTGTAGCTCAGTGGTCACCAACCTTTTTCAGCATAAGATCACTTTTTGAATGTAGGTGTAACCCAAGATCTACCCCTAAGACAATGTTGTAGAATAATCAGTCTTTTTTTAATTTATGCTATGTAAATCTAAAATCAAGTGCATATAATTATAGAATAAAGTCCATTTTTAATTTATGCTATATAAATATATTTGGGCATATAATTGTTGTTATTGCACAAGCAAGCAGATGTAGACATATAAGCCAGTGCAGCTTTAACATCGGTTTACTAGCGTGCACAAATAAATTGTGAAAGCAAGGGGTAAAATAAAGGCAAATGTACACTTCTCCCTGCCAATCAGTGTATGGTCCACCAGAGCCAGGTGGATGTGGCATTCTGTCCACTGAGGCTGCCCCAGAAGGGACAGCGTCACTGCACTCTGGCTTTAGCTGGAGCAAAGCAGGACAGCTGCCTGCCCACCACACGACCCAGCCGGAACCCACCAAGTCACCACCACCACTGCTCACCTTCCATTCCAGCAGTAAGTGTGAATGAGCAAAGTAAGGTGATCAACAGCATAGAATCTTTCTGGAAGAGATTTCCAGTTCCCCAAAGTGAAGACTATGGCAGTTTTATAACAGAGAGCCTGCGATGAGCTGGTGACCTGTTACTGCTCATTCTCCATATTCTACTTTTCAGGACAAATTTACTGAAAGGTGTTTTATTCGATACTTGCCAGACAAGTGCCCCTTTATAACGGGAAGATAAAAAGGGTATTTGGTATGTCATCATTCACATGATCCCAAATATAACAAAAAGGGGAGCCTCATTTCTCCTTTTGAAATCTGTATGGTTAATTGTGCCAGCTGTTTGCTTAATTCCATGCCTTCAGCTGCCACTGTACTCAACACCGCAGAAAACCTTGCAGCATCATGGCCACATGTATGGTGGCACTGAAATATAAAGATGTAATTTAGCACACTGGTTTTTGCTATCACAGTAAACAGATTTATATTTTTTTCCTTATTTTACAGGACTTGTTACAGATTACAGGGTAAGTACAGTGCCCTCAGTAATAATAAAAATATTGATTTTTACGTGGTAACTTTTTTTAAAATAGGCTTTCCTTTATTTGTCCCTATTGTAACTCACAGTTAGCTTTTTTTTTTCTGTGAAAGAGGCTCAGCATGCTATTCCCTTGATAATTTCCCAAAGAAGGAAAATCTAAAACTCCAGTCCCAATTTATTTTTAAACTTTTTGTTTACAAGTTATATAGATTTATACCAATTAACCACAAGGGATAAGGAATACAACCCATAATAGGGAAATAACTAATTAAAGAATATACAGATAAATTAGCTGTATTCAAGTTGGCAGGGTCAGATGAAATTCATTCTTGGACACCTAATGAACTATCTGAAGTGATCTTAGAACTGTTAGCAATTTCTCTGAGAACTCCTGAAGGCAGCTGAGGTCCTAGAAGAGTAGAGAAGGTACCTATCTTTAAAAAGGAAAACAAAAAGGGTACAGGGAATTATAGTCCAGTCTGCCTAATTTCAATACCTGGAAAGATATTGGAACAAATAATTAAACAATCAGTTTGCAAGCACCTCGAGGACATTAGGAGTAGAAAGAATAACCAGCAAGGTTTTTGTGTCAAAACAAATCATCCTAAGCCAACCTAATTTCCATTTTCTGACACAATCACAAGTGACATTCTCATAAGCAAACTAGGGAAATGTGGTCTAGATGAAATTACTACACAGTGGGTGCACACCTGATTGAAGGATCATACTCAAAGAGTAGTTATCAAGTGTTACTATCAAACTGAGGCAGGGGGCAGATCCAGTGGCATCACTCAGAGGTCAGCCATAGGTCCAGCACTTCTCATTAATGAGGTGAATAATTGAGTGGAAAGAATGCTTATAAAATCTCCAGATGACACCCAGTTGCAAGTGGTGAGGACAGGATTGGAACACAAAACAACTTTGACAAACTGGTCTGAATTCAACATGATTAAGTTCAAAAAGGCAAATGCAAAGTACTTCACTTAGGAAAGAAAAATCAAATGTGCAACTAACAAAAATTGAGGAATAAATAGGTAGGTGTTAGTACTGCTGAAAGGGATGTGGAGGTTATAGTGGATCACAAACTAAATATGAGTCAACATGTGAAGCCACTGTGAAAAAGTTTAATGTCATTCTGATTCTGTGTCTGATAGCTAGACTTGGCCAACAGAAGGAATCTAATTTAAGATATTTTCATCAGACCATAATGCATATGTTATTTTGAAAACAATTGTAAATGTATTTTCTCCTAAAATGAAAATCTATTTATTAAAACTATTTTAAAACTCTTCCTGGACTTTTCCTGGTAAGTTTATGTTTATGTGCCCTATCTTGCAAGATGCTGAGCACCTTGTGGAGACTTTAATAGGAGTTGTGAGTGTAAAAGCAATATATGCTCTGCCTCGTGAATCATTAACTTTTGACACCTCTTCTTTGCTTTTTGATCAATTGGGTGTGGACCATGCCAGTGTATTTTCTAGTTTGTACCAGAATATTCTTTCATGATTTGACCTGCCTCTAAAGTTGTTATACAGTGAGCCTCTAGAAGTTTGAACTGTGATCGTGACAAAACTGGATGTATAAACTGCACTGTACATGGACTTATATTTTCAGGCATGCAGACCCTTCCTTCTCAAATGCTTTACTCCTTCTACTTGCAGCATTGGCAGATCCCCCTCGGCCGAAGGTTTCGTTCCCTGAAAATGTGGTTTGTGTTTAGAATGTATGGAGTGAAGGGACTACAAGAGTATATCCGTAAGGTGAACTTCTTTTACTTTATGGGAAAATTTGTATTGTGGAGGAAGAGGGAAGAGGGGCTTAATAAAAATCCACATCTATGTGCCTTCTACATATGTATATCTGCATGCATAATCAAAGCTTGTTGCACATCCCAGTTCATCCAAGGGCCTGCCTCTCATCCTATATCCTATCACAGCAGTTTTGATCATTGGGGTCACAACAATTGACCATATTGTGGCACAATCTTGAGAGAATGTGAGGTTTTTTTCACATCAGAGCTCCCCCCCACCCGACCCCCTGAAATGATGTCAAGGCACATTAGTGGCATCATAAAAACAAAGCCAAGACTTTCCATTGCTGCCTGAGTTCGTCAGTGGCTATGTGTTTATTATAAACTAGAAGCATGTTAATATTCAAAAGGTTAGGAAGAGTGAAAACAAAGCAAGAGTAGCCATCTGTGACCTTTTTTATTTATAATATAAAATAACGAATTCTGTGACCGTCCTCACATCTGTATGGCATCTGTAACGAGTGCTAACCATGATAATAAACCACATACATGGAAACGGAAGTGTAGG